GAAAAAAAAAAAAAAAAAAGAAAAGAAAAAAGAACCCTTCTCAAAGATCTACAAGACTGCCACCCAGGCTGCTATGAGGGGCCCAGCACCCAGGTAAGGACTCTCCTCCTTTTCAATTGCTCAGCAGAATCTTAACAGAAAGCCTGGGGTGGGGGTGGGGGTGAAGGTGGGAATGTCAGGCTGGGAAGAGGTTGGTGCACCTGCTGCTGCTCATCTGGCTGTGCTGCCCTGGGCCTCTCAGTCCACAAGGGCTGGAGAGAAGATGCTCCTAGGAAAACACAGGCTTTTACTAGATATAGATAGGGACTAGAAGCCTGGCTCCGTCACTCCCAAAGTCATTAAACCCCTGCAAGTTGCATTTCCTTATCTACAAAATGGGGGCTGATGTTCCCCTGCAGAGTACGGGAAGACAAGAGGTGAGACGAACCTGTGGAAGCACTAGGCATAGGCATAAGTTCTCCGCAACCAGCTCCCTTACCTTTTCCATCCCACCCACCATGGTCCAGGTGATGCAGCCCAGCACCCGGGTGAGGACACAGCCAGGACACCCGCCCTTCCAGATGCCCATCTCCCAGCCCTACCACCTCACCTGTCGCAGTAGAGCTGCATGTGTCTGGGCATCTCACCATGGGGCACTGCATCAGGCAGCTCCTGCAGCTTCAGGGTCTGGAAGTCCACACACTTGCACTTGTCCGGCATGATAAAATACGGGTCCAGTGGGCACTTGGGGCGCCCAGCCTGATCCCTGTACAGGGTAGAGGGAAAGGGTCACCCAAACTACCCTCAAAACCCAAAGGCTACGGGCTCATTTACCCCAACAGTCAGCAACAAGATAAACTGCAGAAATTTACGGGGGTCTCCAAGATCAGGTGGGGAAAGACCCTAGAAGAAGGGCAGCTCTGCAGTAGACTGAGCACTGGATTGGGAGTCAGATGTGCTTGGGGTCCAGCTCCTGCATTAACTTGCTGAGAGGTGGCAGACAATCACATTCATGTAGGACTGCAGGGTCTCAATGTCCCCATGGGTGATAAGAGGCTAGATCAACTACCATATTGAGCCCTTGTTCAAATCCTAGATCTTTTCCTGTGAGATTCTATGTACCCCTAGACCATTCTGAGGGTCCCAGCCACTAGCCATTCAAAAAATACCACAGCAATATCTACAAACAAATAGCGTAGCAAAGCACCTCATGTGCCAGCCACTGCTTCAGGTGCAAGGGAAACAGCAGTGAGTAAAAGATCACTGTTCTTGTGGAGCTCAAGTTCTCATCAGGAGAGAAAGAAAAAAAACACATAAGCAACCACATACTACAGCAACGGCACATGAAAAACAGTGAAAGTAGCGCAGCACCTGTGGCTCAAAGGAGTAAGGCGCCAGGCCCATATGTGGAGGTGGTGGGTTCAAACCCAGCCCTGGCCAAAAACTGCAAAAAAAAAAAAAAAAAGGAAGAAAGAAAGAAAAAACAGTGAAAGTAGACAGGTAAGAGAGTCCAGGTAGGTGTGTAAGACGCAGGGTCTGGGGAGGCACGCTGGTGAGGGACACGTTGGGGGGAACCTGAAGGAGAAGTGAGGACGCAGACTGAGGCAGCCTGAGAGATGTTTCAGGCAAGGTCATAGGCCCTGAGAATGGGACTGTGCTCAGTGTATTCCGGCAGCAGGAAGCAAGCAGTGTGCTGGGGAGGGGAGATGAGAGGTGGGAAGGTAGGCTAGAGGGAGCCAGGAGTAGACCATGGAGGGCTGTGCAGGACTTAACTCCCAACCAGGTGAGAGAGAAATGACTGAATCACTTGCAGTGTCAAGAGTTACCTGGCTGCTGGGTGGAGCAGACTGAGGGGGACGAAGATGGACGCAGAGGACTGGGGAGTGGAGTGGAGTACCACACCACTCTAGTGAGAGATGACAACAATCTGGAACAAGGAGATGCCCATGGGGGTCAGGAAGCTGAGGAGGCACTGGCAAGGGGGTCAGGAAGCTGAGGAAGCACTGGCAAGGGGGTCAGGAAAGAACAGCCACCAAGAGAGCAGAGACCGTTTGGATCAGGTCTGCAAATGTTTTTCCATAGAACCAGACAATATGCATTCTAGATTCTGTGAGCAAGGCCAAATGCAGCCATAGGCAACACATAAGTGAATGAGCGGTGCTGTGTTCCTGGGAGGTACAGCTGACGGGCAGCATTTGGCCTAGGGAGCCACAGTTTGCTTTCAAAGATTCTAGTTTCATCCCCTGAACTACTTTTCCTTCCCAATGATGGGTTCCCCACACAGGCTATCTAGGCATCCTGGTGGGGACAGAATCCATCAATGTAGAAACACCATTCCCCATTTACAGTATCCGGGAGCCCCAGGGCATCAGATCCATATCAAGCCCAAGGGTACACCCCTACTGCAACCCACCCCAGTGGGTCTCTGAAAAGCAGCTGTAGATGGTGCCTGCTGCTCTTCCTTCATCCTTTCTGACCTCCACTCAGGTCACTGCCTTAGTCCCTCTTAGCCACACACTCACGTGTTGCACTTCCTGGGCAGGGGGTATCCCTCCAAGCCCGGGCGCATGGCAATGTTGGTGAGGGTGTTACGGCAGCTGCGACACTGGATAGAGATGCGGGTGGCCTTGGCTCGGACTGCAGAGGCCGCAATGATGATGCCAGGGATCTTCACCAGGTGTGACATCATGTCTGACTGTAACAGGGCCATTGGGAGGATTGTGGGTTAAAAGGAGCCAGAGTACATCTGTATAATGCGTTTTCCGATGAGCCTGAGGAGAGGAAATCTGTCCCTGGGGGAAGCAAAGCCTGCCCTGATGAACAGCTGCCCTTACAAAACAAGTCCAATGCCACTTCCACAGACAGGAAAATCTGGTGAAGCTGTTTGGTTCCACATGTTCACAAAGCCCCTCATGACACCAATATACTGCATAGTCTGGAACACCCACAGCTGTATTTCTGAAACTGACCTGCCATCATGCTATGCTAACTGTGGACAGTGTGACAGGGACCACAACAGAGATGCAGAGGTTCTAGCAAATAACAGAGCACAGCCTTCTGGGTGCAGTACACAATGGAGAAGGTGGCATTAGGTGCACAGGCGACATTTGGGCATCACCATAGAATTTACCAAATATAGCCAAATGTGTCAGTTCATTGGATTCCAACAACCCTGAAGAGACAGCGCAATCGACATCGTCACCCTCACTTCCTCCTCACTGATCTCCTGGCTTCGCCTCCTGCCTGTTTTATAAATCTTCTTCCACACGGCAGCCAAACAGATCAGAAAACTCTTTAATCAGACCATTCTCCTCACACGTCCACTGGCTTCCACCTGTGCTTCAAACAAAGCCCAAGCTCCTCTGCCAGCTAGAAAGGCCTTATGGTGATCTGACCTCTGCACTTCCTTCCTCCTAGCTGACCCTTGCGCTCACTGAGCCCTGGCCACACCAGCTTCTTTCCACTCCCCACTATAGGGCCTTTGCACCTGCTGCTCCTTGAGCCTGGAAATCTCCTTTGGCTGGGCTGCCAAGTGGCTACGCACCACTCAAATCTGCCTCCAACATCTCTTCCTCAAGGCCTTCTCAGATCCCCATCAACTTCCTTGGCCACGTCATGCTGCCCCATTTTCTTTGCTTTTCTTCATGCCTCTCATCCCAGTACCTGAAATCATCTAAATGTTCCTTGTCTGTTTCTCCCACTATAAGCTCCAAGAGAGCAAGGTTATGCCTGTTTTATTCACCATAGTGAGTCACCAGGTACACAGCAGCCACTCAGTACTTGTTGAACAAAACAAGTAACTGAACAGATGACTGACACTGCCAACTTCTGCCTCCTCATTCCTTTTAGCCACGGTGATGGTCATTCAATGTGGCCTTGAATGCATCACACCCTCCTCACCTCTCAGACTTTGTGCTCACTATACCCTAAGCCATCCCACCCCCTGGAATGCTCTCTCCTATTTATGTGCTGCCCAACCTCCCCTCAGCTGTCACCTCTTCAAAGAAGCCTTCTCCATCTTGCCTAGAGGGGCCCCCAGACGTTTCAATCACGCTCTTGATTGCTATCGTTCCATTTATAACCACCTAAAATAATCATGGGTGATGGCTATATTGGTTTACTCAATCTCCTTGCTGGTGTAAACTCTACAAGGCCAGGGGCTCATCATATAGTTGCCGTTGTTTGTCCAGGACACAATTCAAGGGCTTGCCCACAGAGGAGCTCAATAAACATCTATCCAGTGAGTTAACTTTGCAGAGCAGGAAAAAGGCTCAGAAAGGTCAAGAGCCTTGCTCAGGGTTACAGAGCTGGCATCCAACCCTTCCTACATCCAAAGCCCTCTGCACCATATACCCAGCTGGCCTCTCTATGGACCCTCAAAGGCCACCCTCCAACTGGCCTGTCAGTGGACCCACCTTCAGGCTACGAATGCTGGAAGGGCTGGCGTCAGACTTGAGCATGACCTGGATATCCTGGAGCACCTCCTCACCAGCAGGCCGGGGCCGGGTCACCTCATCAGCCACCTCTTTAGCAGCTTCCTCTAGCTATAGAGAAGGAAGAGTACAGGTTATGAGTGACAGGGTCACAACAGCCCTAGGGGACTCAAGGATTGGGTCCCACTTACCAGCTGCAGGTGTTCAGCTGGCTGCTTGTACAAGTAGTCAGCCAAGTCTTCATCAAAGCTGGCCAGATCCTCCATCTCCACCTCAATCCAGTACTCCCCCAGGTTGTAATGCCGCTTGAGTTCATCCCTAGAGTGGGCAGGTGGTGGAGGAGACAGGTGCAGAGAAAACTAACACTGGCTGGGGTGCACTTACACCTCTGAACCTGGCCACATCACAGCCACCATGGCCTCATCATTCCTCTTCCCAGACACCATCTAATTCTAGATCCTTTCATCATTTAACCCTGCAGAAGCTACACACTACCGAGAGGCATCCTCCAAAGATGGCTCCAGGGAAGCGGTCCGCAGGATCGATGAGGCATGTTTCAACACTAAGGTCCATCTGCACAAATCAGGACTCTTCAGAGCCTTTAATTCACTCTTAGAAAAATCTCAAACCTGGAAGCTCCAAGGTAGCAGAGACTACATCTGTCCTGTCTTATGCACCTCCCATCAGAGCCTTTGCACAGAGCATCTCATGAAATGACCATCCCAAGAACCATTTGAGGACCACAGACCAGGGCAGCTGCTCCTAGCTGCACAGTATCACAGGCCCTGTCCCCTGCTACCTTATATCCAGGAACCAATAAAATGGCCAGTCTGGCCACAGAGGGCCCTTGCTATAAGAGGACACTCCACACTTCCAATTGCTCCCCCCCAGAATGTTTTCCATACCTAAAACTCTTCTCTCAGCTCAAGGGTCACCTCAGACTTCAGACCTTTGGAAACCTTCCCTAACTCCTTTCTATCAGCTTGGAATTTATTTTTGGTCTCCACGACTCATGCCCCTGACTTATGAGCTTCCTAAAGAAGTGTCTTTTCACCTTTGTATCCAGTGTTTGGCACAAAGGTGGCAGCTGTTGCATGAATAAATGGGAGGCAGGAATAACTTTACCCATTTTACTGATAAAGAAACTGAGGCCCAGGCCAGGCACGGTGGCTCACATCTACAATCCTAGCACTCTGGGAGGCTGAGGCAGGTGGATTGCTTGAGCTCACAGGTTCGAGACCAGACTGAGCAAAAAGCAAGACCCCCACCTCTACAAAAAAATAGAAAAACTGAGGAAAGAGGATCACTTGAGCCCAAGAGTTGGAGGCTGCTCTGAGCTATGATGCCACAGCACTCTACACAGGGTGACTCTGTCTCAAATTAAAAAAAGAAAGAAAGAAAGAAACAAGAAAGACAGATGCTCGGAAGTCATTCATCTAATAAACTGGTTAGACCCAACTCTGAGCCTAGAAACTCATGTCCTCTACATTTTCTTTTTTAATAAATGGGAGGCCAGGCTCTGCACCTATGGCTCAAGCGGCTAAGGTGCCAGCCACATACACCTGAGATGGCGAGTTTGAATCCAGCCTAGGCCACCAAACAGCAATGAGGGCTGCAACCAAAAAAATAGCCAGGCATCGTGACAGGCGCCTGTGGTCCCAGCTACTTGGGAGGCGGAGGCCGGAGAACCACTTGAGCCCAGGAGTTGGAGGTTGCTGTGAGCTGTAATGCCA